CAAAGTTTCATACATTAAAGTTTAATAAAAATTAAAAACACCCCAAAAAAATATTTCAAAGCCACTCACCCCCCACGTACAAGCACATACAAACTCAATGGACAACTGCAGAACTGTGTGAAGTTGACACCCCCTCCCCATACCCACCATGTGTCTCAGGCTTTCCTGCCCCTCTTAGGTGCCTGGTGTTTCCAATTTCCATGGTGGGTGTGAGGATAGAGAGCAGCAGAGATCAGGGAACATCTGTCTTTTGCTCTTCGCTGGGTAGGATGAAGCCGGAAGTGCTCAGCTCTGAGCACTTCCAGGTTCAGAGCTGTTAAGCCCTGACCACTCTGGCTGGTTGAGCACAGTCTGTGCTACATTGGCTTCGGCAGAGTGCAGATGTGATATTAGGGGGCCTAAAATCAGATCCCTGATGTCTCCTTAAAGAGAACCTGTCACCTGGCCAACGCTATGACATAGGGGGATATGAACAACCTTTGGGTACTGCAGTTTTTTCACCAGGTGCACACAGTTTTGAGGCTTGACATTACAATGTGCATCCCTGGCCTATCATATGCCAACTGTCCTGTCCTGCCTGGTGCTTCTCGATGCTGTCCCAGCCGTGTCCCAGGATCATGTGCAGTAACCAATTATAAAAGGGGAACTGAGGAAGTGGGCGGTCCCTGCACTTTTAGGGATGTGACCACAGCAGAAAGTAAGGGTGGTCTGGGCGTGACCACGTCAGAAAGTGGGCATGTCAAGTGTGGGCGGGTTACAAGCCTATCAGAGGATCCAGCCTTTCCACACTCCAACTCATGATGCTTTAAGGCCGGAGTTCTAGTTTTCACCTTTTAGTTAGCGCATTGCTCAGCAAACGACCAGCACGATGTGCGCTATGCTGGGTGATGACAGGTTCTCCTGTTTTGCTCATAGGATCCTTTAGGATGATTTTTTTTTTTTTGGGTGGGGGGTTATTGGCTAAATTGGACACTGCAAATGTATCTGTAACACTGTGCGGTACCTGCGCCAAGCTGACGGCTCTCTCCGGGATCTGGATACGGGGAAAAGCGTACAGGGCCCCGTGGATGGGGTTACAGTGGATTCCCGGGGCCCGGTTTAGTATTTCCTCTGCCAGCCGGGCCTTCTCCAGCTGAGTGCTCAGTAGATTCTGTGCCTCCTGCAGAACAAAATGGAGGAGGGAAGTTAACGCTCTCTTACAAAGCCCCTCCCCCAACCACCTTCAGGTCACCTGACTTTTACTCTTTTCCCCTCACTGAGCCATTTATATACTAACTTTTTGTTTTTACTTATTTTATCTAATTGGCAACAAACAATTACACCACCTGAAGCCCCTTCTCCACCTTCCCTCCATAGAAAGTGATAGATTACACCCAATTTAGCGCGGTTCCCATTAGCACTAAGAGTTTAAATGAGAGACGATTAGAAAGTCATTTTTCTGGATTGTATTTCCCCAAATGAACAATTTCCTGGAGCAGCTCTAAAAGATGGCCAGAATAATATTTGCCATGAAAAAGGGGAATACTGATCATGACCACATTATACAAGTTCATCCCATTAGTGCTACTGTTCATCGAAGTGTGCATTTAATCCCGTCATTTGAAAAGGGCAGGGGTGGGTGGGCAGAGACAGGCCCCGCCCACGAGGGGCCTTCCACCTTAGAGCTGTAATGTGACCAAGCCTCCTCTATTCACTACTAACAATAACGAAAGACTCCAAATGTTCTATAGATTATTCCCGGGCATTACATGTCCTACTTATGACACTCACGGCTTGGAAGGTCTTATACTAGGGGTCTCCAGGCTGTGGGGGGATGTTCTATAGATTATCCCTGGGCATTACATATCCAACTTATATTACTCATGACTTGGAAAGTCTCATATGAGGGGTCTCCAGGCCGTGTGGGGATGTTCTATAGATTATCCCCGAGCATTACATGTCCAATTTATGACACTCATGGCTTGGAAAGTCTCATACGAGGGGTCTCCAGGCCGTGTGGGGATGTTCTATAGATTATCCCCGAGCATTACATGTCCAATTTATGACACTCATGGCTTGGAAAGTCTCATACGAGGGGTCTCCAGGCCGTGTGGGGATGTTCTATAGATTATCCCCGAGCATTACATGTCCAATTTATGACACTCATGGCTTGGAAAGTCTCATACGAGGGGTCTCCAGGCCGTGTGGGGATGTTCTATAGATTATCCCCGAGCATTAAATGTCCAATTTATGACAATCACAGCTTGGAAGGTCTCATACGAGGGGTCTTTAGACTGCGGGGGGATGTTCTATAGATTATCTCCGGGCATTACATGTGCTACTTATGACACTCATGACTTGGAAAGTCTCATACAAGGGGTCTCCAAGGTGCGGGGGGATGTTCTATAGATTATGCCCAGGCATTAGATGTCCAACTTATGACACTCTGGACTTAGAAAGTCTCATACGAGGGGTCTTCAGGGTACATGGGCATGTTCTACAGATTATTCCTGGGCATTATATGTCCTACTTATAACACTCAATGCTTGGAAAGTCTTATATGAGCGGTCTCCAGGGTGAGGGGGGATGTTCTATAGATTTTCACTGGGCAATTCATGTCCTACTTATGAGACTTATAGTTTCATAGTTGTTACGGCTGAATAAAGACACAGGTCCATCAAGTTCAACCTTTAGGTTTGGTGTGTGTGTTACTAAGATGACCCGTACCCAGTGGCGTAACTAGTGACCTCAGGGCCCCGATGCAAGAATCCATGAAGGCCCCCCCCCCCTCCCCCCAAAAGAAACAAATTAGATTTTTTTTTTAAACAAAATTTAGACAAGGGGTCTCCAAGTGGCGGAACTCCAGGGCCCGGTCGCGACCTCTGCGACCCTGGTAGTTCCGCCACTGCCCGTACCCCTGTATATCTTGTGCGCTGAGAAAAGTGAATGATTCCATACTCCCAGCCGATACCACTGTCTGTGGAAGGGAGTTCCACAATTGTACCGCTGTCACAGTAAAGAATCCTCTTCGCTGTTTAGGATGAAACCTTCTCTCTTCCAGTTTCAGGTGGTGGCCTCTTCTGGACTGAACTGACAGTAAACAATTTATTACTGATTATCCCATCACCATTATTATCATGTCCCCTCTCAGTCTCCTCCTCGAGAGTGAACAAGGTTAACGCATGCAGTCCTTCCTCATAGTTTAGGTCCTCTAACCCCTTTATTAGCTTTGTCACCCTTCTCTGGACTCTCTACAGCTCAAGGACATCCCTTCTGGGGATCGGTGACCAAAACTGAACCGCATACTCAAGATGAGGCCGGACCAGTGTTTTGTACAGGGGCAGAATTATGGATTAATACTCACGGCTTGGAAAGTCTCATAAGAGGGGTCTCCAGGCTGCGGGGGGTCCACCAGAACCTCCATTGCCAGCACAGCAATGATGGAAGGAATATCATAGGATTTCAGGATAGCGAAGTATTCAAACACAGCCCGATCCACATTAACAAACTCAATGTAGCCGGCACGGAGGCCGCACCTCGGGGGAGGGAAGAATAAATGTTTCTATCACGTTTTTATATCAACAGCTCTCTGTAAATATCTCATAATAATTGTCACCGCCATAATATTGATGGTAAAATAATAATAATAGCAATAATAATTCTGATTAAATCTGGTAGACCTATACGGTCCATTCACAAAGATTTAGCACGAGGATAAGGAGCTTTATATCAGACATTTCATTGCCATTGTGAAGCCTCAATGGAGGGGTTTATTTCACACGTCACATGTCTTCTTTGTCATAATTCTGGCAAAGATTAAAACAGAACCAAAGTTTATTTTTTATTTTTTACAGTCTATCTAAACCTAACAACAAAAATGTTACATGTTGCAGCTTACCAGTCCTTAGATGTGGTGGCTGCGTTAGTTTTCTTTGTCCAGTGCCACAATCACCTCTCCTCCATTCCAGCACTGGTGCCATGACCAATCAGGAGACAGCTCATCTGATTGATGATGCATCTGATGCTTTAAATTGTGAAGCGATGCTTGGCATGGCGCTTTATCAACACGCCACTACGCCTCAGTCAAGCCCCGCTGCTGCAGTAACCTTACCTCTCCTTCATGTCTTCCACCAGTCCTGTGTCCCCCCCCCATGCGTCTTCTGCTGTCAGTGTCTCCAGTATGCCCAGTGTGCCCTACTGTTTCCAGTGCGCCCTGTGCACCCCAGTCTCTAGAACAACCTGTATGTTCTAGCGTCTCCTTTGAGCCCCAGTGTCTCTCTTATCCCCCGTGCACCCCAGTGTCTCCTGAAGACCCTGTGCACCACTGTGTCTCCAGGGCAACCTGTGCACCCCAGTGTCTGTATTACGCACCATGTGCCCCAGTCTCCATTGCACCCCATACACTGTTGTGTCTGCAAGTGCACCTCAGATCATCTAGTGTTGTCTACTGACTCTTGTGTGCCCCATCCTGTACCATCTAGTAGCTCCAGTAAACCTCTGTGCGTCCCATGACTGCAGTGCATCCCAGGAGCATCTAATGTCTTCTAGTGACTCCTAGTGCACCTCTGTGACACCTGTGTCTCCTTGCAGTCCAGCATGCTCTGCAGTTGTTTGGCTTCCTATGCTCCACTGTCAGTACCCTCTGCTACTTCTCTACTCAGGTATTCTTCACCAAATCACCCTGACTGCCCCTCTCTCAGTAGATACGGTCTCCTGTTCAGGCTTTTTTTCCCCTTCATTTTCACCTGGTAGTCCTATAAATAACACACGTCCTGTTCCTGGGTGGCTATGCTCACTCACTTTGTTGCATCTATAAAGGAGCATTCAGCACTTTGGATAGCGACAAGGACACTGGATTTCTGGAAGGATCAACAGGTATTTTTCTGTACATGAAAATGTACTTAAATGTTCTTAGCCTGAAAAAACAAAAACAAATGCGGCCACCACATCTAAGGACTGGTAAGCTGCAATATATTATATTTTGGATGTATATATATTTGAATGCAAATATGCCAATCGGAGTTGTCCATATGGTAAATATATATGATGGGCAGGCACAGGACCTGGGACCCTCTGTGATCTCTTGGATTGATCTCTGCTGGCTGCGCAGCTCAGAGGTTATAGGCTTTCCACATCTATCTCTATGCCATTGGGGAAGTGCTTCAGTGAGACAGAATTGTCCATAGTTGCCTCAGTGTGGTTTGTTTCCAATGGACAAGTTCCACATGAATCCCTCTCTGGACGGATGTGTGACACTTACTCTCCACTGATCCCCTTGGAGATGGAGTAGATGGACACCAGCTGGACCCGCTCAGAATACTCCGGCCCCATTTCAAACAGAACTTTCTTCAGGGAATGAAACACGGCTCCTGGGGCGAAAACGTTCTCCTGATACACCTGTAGGAGAGGACAGAGTTATGCTAAACAGTGTTGCCGTACGGTAGTGTGACCTATGAGAGAGAGAGAAAATAAGCAGTACAATCATATACCCCAACCGAAGGTAGCAAAGAGGACCAGTCACAGGTGCAATGTATTGCTATATATGGTGGCATGTTCACAAAGACTAGGGTAGCACCCATCACCTTCTGTGATGTGGCTACTAGACATTTAGTGATAGCCAGGGCTGTAGTCAGCCTGGCTGGATTTATAGTGGCAATTATCTGGTTAATTCCAGGTGTCTGGCATTGCTTGTACCCCCCTAGGCAGAGTGTGACTCTGTCATATTGTGGGACCGCCAATGAGAGATGCTATAGTGAATGTACAGTACAGCAGCCAATCACTGGGTTTCTCTCAGCCAGTGGTGCATGCTGGTATAGGGTACATATACTAGTGGGATTTGCCATGTGCTCAGACTAGCTGGGACCAGCCATGGAATAGGGCTGGGTCCTGTTCAGCCTGCCCCCCAGGCTAGGCCTGAGGCCTGGGGGTGGGCACAGGCTGGTGTGCGGGAAAGGTTTCCCTGGGGCCTCCAACATGCAGGAGGCCTGTGATGCTGATAGAGGAAGAGAGCCGGGACCAATGCAGGCTCTTGAAGTACCCTGGAACTAAGATGACTTCAGGAGCATGGTCGGTGTCTTTCCTGTGTTGATGATCTGTATCCATCCTGTTTAGCTGCTACATCAGTTGCTGTCCGCTGCCTCCCAAGTGGATCTACACTGATATGCCAACCAGGTCTGGTGAGTCTGGAGCTTTTGTCAGTTACCCCTGGAAACCTAGAATCCCTATACCCCTCTCTCCCCAGTGAAGATGTTCAGTAAACTGTTACTTAGCATTTTACTACTGGAGTGGACATCAGTTTATGGGCACTAGAAGAAGGGCGGTTAATGCTAATGGGTGGGCAGCTGAAGAACATACCCTAGACAGACTAGAGATGGACCGGGCATCCAGCGGCTCCTTCGGGGGTGAGCGCTACACTAGGTAGGCCAGAGCAAAGGTCTAAAGATCCTCTGAGGGCAGCACAATGCTCTCCATGTTCAGTTCACAAAACAGTTTCTTGAATCTTGTACAAAATTCCAAGACTACAAGCTTAGCAGAAGCAACCCCGATCAAATCCAGCTATTCAATTTTGGCAATTTGTAGGGCTAATAAGTAAGCTATTGTCAAACAAAAGGCAAATGAGAAGCCCGGCATGTACCAATGCCCCCAAAAAACCCGCAGCCAAGGAAAAAAGGTCTTTTCAGGCAGCTTGCACACATCCTTTAAATTACCATTTTGTGGGATGCCCTAAAGCTGTATGTGGCGTTATGGAACAGTGGTTTGTATGTAGAACCTCAGAGAAGGCGATCGCTTGTTCTTGTACAGTAAGCTCGGCTTACCTACAACAGCAGCACCCCAATTTGATTTATTGCAACTGGGGAAAAAATGCTTTTTTCAGGTAGATTTCGCTGTGTCCAATAATGCTTTTTCATCACATGGTGCTCAGTCTACTGTAGCTGGTGGTAGTGGCAGCTGCAACAGATCTACAGAATCTATAGAAAGGCGTTTTCTTAAAAAAAAAATTACAGCTATAGCAAGTCAGTGGCGTCACAAGGGGGGTGCGGCCCGCACCCGGGTGACACCATTGGAGGAGAGACACCAAAATGACTCACAGTCACCTCTGAAAAGTCGGGCGCTCGGTCATGGACCGAACGCCCGACAGTATCAGGAGAGAGGAGGGGACCTGGCGGCATACCTTATCCCACCGGGTGACTGTCCCCTCCTCTCTCTGCCGGCGTCCCTCACCAAGATGGCCGCCTGCAGGTATCAGAATACTGCTGCGCATGCGCGATGACATCTCGGCGGGGTGACACTCGGTTACCGCTCCAGGTGTCACCCAGCCTCGGGACGCCCTGTAGCAAGTGTGGCTTGGTGAAAATTTGCTTGCGGCACTGCAGTTTGAGGGCATAGTTTGTGGATTCTCAGTTGTTCCTAATGGTGAAACAGCACAGTTTTTGGTCAAAAACTTGTGATTGTGATTTGTGTGACTCAACCCACAGTAGTGGAGAACATGAACCTCATCCCTAGTTCCTCTTACATTACAGAGCAGAGGAACGCTCAATGGATACCAGAAGAGCCCTGAGGGTCTCCGGGAGAATCTTGGAGTATTCTGACACAGTTCTGGTGGGGCCCATGAGAGTTCTGCAGGATTCTGGGAGAGTTTGTTGGGATTCTGGGAGAGCCTCAGTGTACCAGGAGAAGTTATGAAGGGTTCTGAGAGACCCTCTAGGAAAGTCCTGGGGTTCCAGGAGAGTTCTGAGGGATTCCGGGAGAGTCTATGGGGATTCCAGAAGAATCTTGGAGTATTCTGAGACAGTTCCAGAAAGTCCATGAGATTTCTGCCAGATTCTGGGAGAGTTCTAAAGGATTCCTAATGAGTCCTGGGGGCTCCAAGAAACTCCTGGGTGGTACTAGAAGAGGGATACCGAGAGTACCTTGGGATTCTGTTAGAGTCCTAGGGTACTTGGAGAGTTCTGAGGGTTTCTGGGAGAGTCCCAGGAGCATTCTGGGAAAGTTCAGGGAGTACCATGAGAGTTCTAAGGAATTCCTGGAAAGTCGGGGGGGGGGGGCGTCACAAGAGATTTCTGAGGGTTTCCAGGAGAGTGCTGGGGGATTTCCGGAGAGTCCCCGGGGAACCCAGCAACCAGTAATCCTCTTCATGAACCCAAATGCTAATTACAATACAAGGCAGACCCAACAAATTGTCTCTGCTAGTAGATAGAGAAAGTCACACTCCAACCAAAATGGTTAGTTTGGTCTTGGATGGAGTGACAATATGAGGGGCTCTGATCATGGAAACTGTAATAGAAAGAGACAGAACACATAAAGGTCGGTGGGGACTCATACAACATTGTTAGTTTGGGTTGAAAAGGGACCTTTGGGTGGACTTTCTCTTCGATAATAATAATAATAATATCACCTCATCAGCGAAAAGCAGCAGATTCTCTTCAGCGGCCAGTCTGATGATCTCCTCAATGTTGTCTCTGCTGAGGACGTGTCCTGGGAACAGATGGGAGAAATCACATTTTATCATATAGAAAGCTTTCATCTCCTTAACACAGTGAGGCATCATGACCTGTCCTACCCTGGTCTCATCTTCCCGAGCAGCACTCAGACTGGGAGAAGGAAGTGCCACACTCTAAGCCAATCAGGGCTCCATCCCTCTGTATAGGGCTGTTGGTCATAGATGAGGACAGTGTCAGGGTTGAAGAGCAATGGGGTGACCTTATCAGTGTACTTCTGCTCCTCTATTGTTCAGCCAGCAAGTGGGGGTGTCCTTGACCAAACTATATTGTTTAACTGCAATGAGTAAAAGTGAGGTCCACGATCTGGCTGGACAGACTTACTTTACCAAATAAAAGACTTCACAAGCATGTTTTTTAGCTTCCTACCCGGAGTTGTGTGTATGGGGCGCAGCCAACTTTCATGGCCAGGCTGAGATATCTTCTCTAGATTGGTTGGCTGGAAAGACGATGCAGCAAGCATCGGAGAATGACTGAGGCTCTCCAATGGCTGCATTTATCCTACCCATAATAGCTTGGGTGGTCGGTGATTGCCAAGAAAGCCCCCCCCCCTCCATATCTGTCAGACTTGCTACAAACCATGGGTAGCCAAACTTTGGCCTTCATGGGACTTGTCGTTCTGCAATAGCTGGATGGCCGAAGTTTTGCTATCCCTGGTATAGGAGCTTTGGGTGGCCCAATCTGCTTGTGTATTGGCAGCTGGGGGACAATGAAGGCTGAAAAATCAGGACAGTCTTGGAGGGTTGGTACCGGTGGGGTTTCCGGGGTTGAGGACACACAGGACTTTTGGGGTGCAGTGTTTCCGGGCAGCGCAGAGCGACTCCCGAATCCTGTCCACATTCACCGCCCATCCGCGCTCCTCGTCCAGGACGTACTCCACCTTCGTGGCACCAAACAGCGCGATGGCGTCCCCATAGAGTGGATAGTGCGGCACGGGGACCACAAAACCCGTCCTCAGCGGCTCCTCTTCATTCACCACCAGCAACAGCACGTTCTGCCGAGAAACAGACAATGAGTGACGCCAGAAACAACGCAGAGAAAATGACCAGCGTGCTGAGAAACGTGCCTTTTAAGAGCTTGTGATTGTGCATGGAAAAGCATGGCTGAATGGATTCCAATAGGGAGGGAGTTTTTATTGCTGTCTGTGTTCCATGGGGAAGATAGTTTCCCCTAGTCAGATGCAAGCGGAAATCTCCCTAATGGGCACAGATGAGGTCTAGATTAAAGTAGAGAGGGGGTCAGTCACAACACCCTCCTGACAATATTTGTATTTGTGTCTGTGCTTTCCTTTCCCGGTGACAACCACTCATGCCATTTCCTGTACAGTTGTCACAGGGACAGGAAGTGAAGGGAAATTTGCATCAACGGGGTTATGTATAATTTAATATACACAGTGTGGATTCTCAGAGAGGTTGGACTTTATCTTGTCCCTCTCAGACTCACCAGAATGGCCTTGGACATCCCCCCAGACACTATAATGTTCCTGGGGTTAGCGGGGACTCCGCCGTCTCTCCGTTCGAGGAACGTGGCGATCTTGGAGGGCAGAACCCGAGATACGTAATTTGGGTTGTAGCTGCCTGTGGAGACAGAAAGAGAAAATTCCGGGATTCAAACCTTTCCAGACGTGGCTCATCTACACGCCTGTCCATGATGGAATTTTATCTCCTAGATGCTGCAAAACACTGGCGGGATCTGTTTGTCGCAACACTTCGCTGCACATTACAGCCCAATAGACTTCTATGGACTGTCTCCGATCATCCTTGAGACACAGCCCCATAGAGGTCTATGGGACACTAATGGTCCATGGTAATGCCCTTTGTATTTTCTCTGTTTATTACATTTGTATCAATAGTTTCTCTTTTGTAGATTTGTAACAATACAAAGGGATACTTTGTATTTTTATGTTCAGCAAGTAGAATTCTGACCTGTTTCCATGTTCTTCTTATATGCATGGCTGAAAAAGCCAGCTGTTTACAGAGCCCAATTGCTCATGCTGTAATTTCTGCACACAGTGTGCAGTGACACCCCTCGCCTTCCTTCCCATCCAGTTAAGGAAGTAGGAAAAGAGTTAAAGGAGAACTATGGGGTTAAGTTTTCCCCATAGTTCTCCTTAGGGTAACGGGAAGACACAAACTAGCGTCCTCCCTTCACCCTAGGCTCAGTATACCACAAGCTACAGCTCGCGGTATACTGAGACGCCGCAGCTGAAGCGGATCCCGACAATTGTGCCGGGATCCGCCCAGCTGCGTGACTGACAGCTGGCTCTGCCTATCTAGAGGCAGAGCCAGCTGTACCCGCCCCCTCCCCCGTCCGTTCCGCCAGTCAGTCGGAGCGGGGAGTGGGGAATCCAGCCCCTCCCCTGTCACGGCAGAGAGCCATGACAGGATCGAGAGGTGAGCGAACGCCGGTATATGTTCGCTCACCTACCGAACTACTGAGCCGACCTGTGACAGTCTCATTGTCACAGGTCGGCTAGAACTATGAGGATGAGTGAAAAGCACCCGCCTCATAGTTCTCCTTTAAAATAACAACTAGAATAAACAGCTCCTTCCCTACTCTCTCCTCAGCTGACCCATAATGGTCCATTTATAAAGAATTTGCAGAGCCATTTGCCCTGTGAATCTCTATGAACGTTCATTGTGTGCAAATAGAGGTAAAAATGAAAGTGATAGATTCCAATAAATGAAAGGGGCGGGGTCAGGGACAGTTAGGCTGGGGAGTAATAACCTAGATCAGTGGTGGCGAACCTTGGCACTCCAGCTGTGCCAAAACTACAAATCCCAACATGCATCTGCCTTTGGGAGTTATGTCTGTGGCTGTCAGAGCCTTGCAATGCCTCATGGGACTTGTAGTTCCAAAACAGCTGGAGTGACAAGGTTCGCCACCACTGTCCTAGATGATGCTGGATGTCCTCTAGCCAGGAAATTACTTGACACTCTCTCTGACTTGCTGCAGCTTCTAATGCACATTGTGAGAAGCTCCCAGTGTGCAGTGATATCAGAGTAATTCCAATCCAGGGGAGGAGCCGTTCTGACCGCAGACCGCCACTTTCCCCAGGGAGGCCTCAGACTCACCCACTGAGCCGTTATCCAAGTTCTTCAAGATCTCCCGGGCCCGGCGTTTGGCGTCCTCTGCAAAGTGCTCAGTGTTCAGCAGGTCCGGGTAGGTACACAGAGCGGCCACCTTCAGAGAGACAGGGAGGTGACAACATTCTTATCGGGAAGCATCATGATATGGGACCACCTTTGAACGTGTCACTGCGCGATCAGAATACCGTATTGTAATATTGATTATAGGACCACAAATAGTGTACATTATAGGGCCACACATAGATTATAGGACCACATATAGATTACAGGACTAAATATAGATTACAGGACCACATATGCTATAGATCATAGGACCACATGTGGATCATAGGACCATATATAGATTATAGAACATTGTATAAATTATAATGGCACCCCCACGTCTTTGCTCTCCATCTTAAGGGTAGTTTCTAGGCTTGTACATAATACCATTGGCTTTGATAGATATCTTATGGAGTGTGCCACACTATGCATAGTATCAAAGGTGTCCCTCACCTTGAGAATTTAGGAAGAATAAGCTGTGTTGCTCCTCACCCCATGAAATCGAGAGGAATGAGCTGTGTACAGCACATTGGTGACGAAACGTGAGCTTGGCAAGGTTGTCCATAAAAGGTCTCCCTAATACCTGGAAGTCTGTGGAAGGTATCCTTCACCTCGGGAAGTTGGGAGGAATGAGCCGTGTACAGTGCATGGATTGCTTATAGACCGGTAGTGAGGCAAGGTTGGCCATAAAAGGTGTCCTTCACCCCTGGAAGTCAGAAGGAAAGTGTGTAGAGTGCAATGAATTGTGATGGATCGGGAGTTTGGCAAGATTGGTGATAAAAGGTGTCCCTTATCCCTGGAAGTCAGGAGGAATGAGCCGCGTACAGTACATGGATCGGTCATGGACAAGTAGTTTGGCCAGGTTGGCTATGGAAGGTGTCCCTCACCCCGGGAAGTCGGGAGCAATGAGCCGGTTACAGTACATGGATCGGTCATGGACAAGTAGTTTGGCCAGGTTGGCTATGGAAGGTGTCCCTCACCCCGGGAAGTCGGGAGCAATGAGCCGGTTACAGTACATGGATCGGTCATGGACAAGTAGTTGGCTATGGAAGGTGCCCCTCACCCCGGTGAATTGATCTGTGACATGATTGGAGGGTGTCTGTGAGTTCCATCACCGTCCCCTCACCTGTCTCAGGAAGGTGCGCGGTTTGTGCCCCATGGCCTGCTGGTCCCCAAAAGTGCATCGTGTGATGTTCCCGAACGGCTTGACAATCCCCTGAGGAAGATAGAAGAATATATAGACATGACAGAAACTCTTCCACCCACAACACAAGAATAAACTCCGGAATGATCCCCATGGACATTTCCTGGGAGGGGTCCCTCTGCTTCCACCCAGACACACTGCCCTCACTGCTCAGTAGAGGGGTGCCCAGGAAGTGAGCGTTATGGGGTGATTCCCAGTATATTTAAAGGGGGGTCTGCGTTGGACCAACCTGTAAAGTGGACATGGTTTGGACATGCCCACCCTGAAAGTTTATACTGGGAGGAGCCATTACCAAACCTGTACAGGATAAATCCTCATAGGAGGAGCCTTTATGTTGGGTGGAGCCATTACTGAACTTGTACAGGATAAATCCTCATAGGAGGGGCCATTTTATTGGGTGGAGCCATTACTGAGCCTGTACAGGATACATCCTCATAGGAGGGGCCTTTCTGTTGGTTGGAGACATTACTGAACTTGTATGGGATAAATCCTCATAGGAGGGGCCATTATTTTGGGTGGAGCCATTGCTGAATCTTATGGGATTAATCCTCATAGGTGGAGTCTTTATGTTGGGTGGAGCCATCGCTGAGCCTGTACAGGGGTGCTGTATATTATTTGGGATTCTCAGACTATCTGGACCCATTCATCACAATATAATAAGGAAAGTTTGCAGGAAGTAAACCCTCCCCTGACCCCTCCAGGGCGTGTCCGGATCCAATCCATTCTTCCGCTGTCCCCCAGCCAATCACCCCCCATTCTCATACCTGATTGATCTCACGCTGCATCTCCACCGCTCGGGCCCACAATGACCCCAGAATAGGAACCTTCACATCCAGGACTGCCTGGTTCATGGTCTCCAGGTTCAGGAGTCGCTTCCCGGGCGCCATTTTCTCTGTGGTCACGGCGACAAATAGAGACATCAACAGATATAAATGTACACAGAGGGACCCCGGGGGTGTAGTTCAGCAGTCACCGAGCTGACTGTATATGTAGTCCAGCAGTCACCCAATTATCACTGTACATGTAGTTCAGCAGTCACCCCACTATGACTGTACATGTAGTCCAGCAGTCACCCCACTATGACTGTACATGTAGTCCAGCAGTCACCCCACTATGACTGTACATGTAGTCCAGCAGTCACCCCACTATGACTGTACATGTAGTTCAGCAGTCACCGCGCTGACTGTATATGTAGTACAGCAGTCGCCCCTCTATCACTGTACATGTAGTTCAGCAGTCACCCCACTATGACTGTACATGTAGTCCAGCAGTCACCCCTCTATCACTGTACATGTAGTTCAGCAGTCACCCCACTATGACTGTACATGTAGTCCAGCAGTCACCCCACTATGACTGCACATGTAGTCCAGCAGTCACCCCTCTATCACTGTACATGTAGTTCAGCAGTCACCCCACTATGACTGTACATGTAGTCCAGCAGTCACCCCTCTATCACTGTACATGTAGTTCAGCAGTCACCCCACTATGACTGTACATGTAGTTCAGCAGTCACCCCACTATGACTGTACATGTAGTCCAGCAGTCACCCCTCTATCACTGTACATGTAGTTCAGCAGTCACCCCACTATGACTGTACATGTAGTCCAGCAGTCACCCCACTATGACTGTACATGTAGTCCAGCAGTCACCCCACTATGACTGCACATGTAGTCCAGCAGTCACCCCACTATGACTGCACATGTAGTCCAGCAGTCACCCCACTATGACTGTACATGTAGTTCAGCAGTCACCGCGCTGACTGTATATGTAGTACAGCAGTCGCCCCTCTATCACTGTACATGTAGTTCAGCAGTCACCCCACTATGACTGTACATGTAGTCCAGCAGTCACCCCTCTATCACTGTACATGTAGTTCAGCAGTCACCCCACTATGACTGTACATGTAGTTCAGCAGTCACCCCACTATGACTGCACATGTAGTCCAGCAGTCACCCCTCTATCACTGTACATGTAGTTCAGCAGTCACCCCACTATGACTGTACATGTAGTCCAGCAGTCACCCCACTATGACTGTACATGTAGTTCAGCAGTCACCCCTCTACGACTGTACATGTAGTTCAGCAGTCACCCCACTACGACTGTACATGTAGTTCAGCAGTCACCCCTCTATGACTGTACATGTAGTCCAGCAGTCACCCCACTATGACTGTACATGTAGTTCTGCGGTCACTCCGCTATGACTGTACATGTAGTTCAGCAGTCACCCCTCTATGACTGTACCTGTAGTCCAGGAGTCACCCCAGTATGATCTCACCTGTAGTCCAGCAGTCACCCCTCTATGACTGTACATGTAGTCCAGCAGTCACCCCGCTATGACTGTACCTGTAGTCCAGGAGTCACCCCAGTATGATCTCACCTGTAGTCCAGCAGTCACCCCTCTATGAGAAGTGTAATAAGTGTGGTTGAAGCATGACATGAAGTGATGAGTCCCCGTCCGTCTGTCTGTGTGCCGGGTTATTGTATAATCTGCGGCGAGGTGACTTATTACCTGCAGTCGGGAACATTGTGTATGTTCAGCGCTCATCATATCATCTCCGGGGTCAGAGAACGCCATAAATTCCTCATTCTATATCTGTCGCCTCTCCCCATGTTCTGCCCTCATTGCCCCGCCACGTTTATCACATTGTGCCGACTCTCAGGTGTTACATAGTTAATATATACATCATCGGGACTGAGGTCCAATACATGGGAATGTTCCAGCAAATTCAGTGTTATATCTATAGGCACCATAAAGAGGACCTGTCTATATATATATACACACTATATTGCCAAAAGTATTGGGACACGCCTCCAAATCATTGGATCCCGATGCTCCGTGACATTTCCTGGCTACTAAATATTCCGCGGTCTGGGGCGGCCCGAGGCTCCGCCCACCGGCTCCGTAGTTTGCGGCCGGCGGACACCTTACACCGGAGCCCGCAACTTCCCACAAGGTCACCGCTGCCGCCCTCTGTGCTCTGCCGCCCCGAGGCCCGGCCTCGGTGGCCTTGTGGGAAATCCGGGCCTGGACACACTCCTGGACGCCTTCCCAGAAGAGGCGGAGCTGTTATAGCGGCAAAGGGCGGAGCCAACCCAATACTGAACCCTACGGACTAAGATGGGGATGCCATTAGAGTTCATGTGCGTGTAAAGACAGGCGTCCCAATACTTTTGGCAATATAGTGTGTACTTTCATCATCTCGTGGAGTCACCAGGCGGCCCAACGAAGTACTGATGGGGGGGTCATAATAATCTGGCCACTCAGTGTATATATACAGTATATAATATATGTGTTCATGATAAGTGTCTTCACTTTCAGGTACTTATTACCTTTCATAGAGATCACCCTATTCCCTTTGACAACCTGATGGCGCCATCTTTGTTCAGGCATCATGCGGGGCCATCATCTATTTCCTGGACTGAGATGATGGCTCAGACATGACACAGTCATGTAAATCCTGATGTCTGTGCAGGCTGGTGTTCATAAATGTCTGACACAGATTAGCCCCTACCACAGTCTCTCAGCTTGTGACTGGATACAAAGTTACAATGTTGCAGACTGATCACTGGGGGAAGGGAGACTGAGGAAATGCTTCCTCCTGCCTGCAGCAGACCGATCACTGGGGGAGGGGAGACTGAGGAAATGCTTCCACCTGCCTGCAGCAGACTGATCACTGGGGGAGGGGAGACTGAGGAAATGCTTCCTCCTGCCTGCAGCAGTCTGATCACTGGGGGAGGGGAGACTGAGGAAATGCTTCCTCCTACCTGCAGCAGACCGATCACCGGGGGAGGGGAGACTGAGGAAATGCTTCCACCTGCCTGCAGCAGACTGATCACTGGGGGAGGGGAGACTGAGGAAATGCTTCCTCCTGTCTGATCCAGCAGACTGATCACTGGGGGACCAGGCACAGACCTGGTGAGACCGCACAGCCCTGGGGAGACCTCACACAACCCTGGTGAGCAACACGGAGTATGTAGCTTCATATTATTCTGCATTGCTGTATAATGTATTGCTGGGATTTGTAGTAATATTTCATACTACAATACATAATGCAGCTCTGTATTCATTAATATATCATTAAATGTATTTTTTTATGGAAGCTGTTTAAGTATCTGAATTTGACCTGATCTCAGCCTGCTGCAGGTATGTGGAAAAAGTGATGGTGAAAGGAGGAGAGAGCAGAGTTGGAGAGATGAGTTCATCACCGTGCTGCTTCTCCATTCATTGTCCAGTCACAGGATGGGGGCGGCTCTATGATGGGCTTAAAGTAAGTGTGATGAATGCTGCCGGCTGTCATTCAGCCTGGAACACTGACAGCTCCTGATTTACTTGAGCTTATCATGGGCTGTCAATGTATTTTATTATTTATTGTTGGAGTCAGGGGTGTCCCCAGGCTGGGTGACAACCCGAGCGGAGACTGGGTGACATCCCGTCATGACATCATCGCGCATGCGCGGCCGTCTTATTGACACCTGCCGGCGGCCATCTTGGTGACGGACACCGGCAGAGAGAGGAGGGGACGTTCACCGGCGGGATGAGGGATGCCGTCGGGTCCCCTCCCCTCTCCTGACACTGTTGGGCTCTCAGTCCGTGATCGAGTGCCCGACTTTTCATCAGGGGTGACACCAAAATGACTGTCAGCCATTTTGGTGTCACCTCTCCAATGGTGGCACACAGGTGCGGGCTGCCCCCTCCCCCGCCCCTCCCAAAAAAACAGCTTTAGTCCCAAATATCACAGAGCATGATGCTGGGCAATCCTTTAAGCAGAAATTTGGCAATAACCGTTTCCATTTGCAGCCTTTCCCAGTGACAGCGCAGTGTGCGAGGCACGACTCCGCAGTATTTATTCTGCAGATTTCTCTTGTTTTGTCCAGTTTTATGCTCGGTCAGCCCCGCAGTGCCTGATCAGCATCTTTTTTTTTTTCTTAGGGGGCTATTCGCAGAGGAGCCGAAAGTTCCAGACGTAGCTTTGGCTGATCCTTCTGCTCTCATCAGCCACCGGAGCCCTTCCGTTCAGCCCTTCCATCACGGCTGGCTCCGCCCAGTTGTAATGACAGATCAGCGTCCCCAAATGACCTGACATGCTGAACTGTCATTAAACAATAACAACTTTGTTATTCATTGGCCGGGACCTGCTAGAAGACTCTAGTAGGTGCCGGGCCAATAGGAAACAGTTGGGTGGAGCTCGCTGTCACTGCTAACGCCGCCCAATAGTTTTTTTTTATTATTATTATTTTTTTCTTTTAAAAAAAAATCTTTATTTATTTTTAAATTTTTCAATTTATTTACATTTTAAAATATTTTTTCAACTTTTTTTTTTTTTTAAACTATTTTCATTGATTTGCTATTCTGCTCGGTATCGCGGAGGTACTGAGCAGAATAGCCAAGCCGAATGCCACCGAGCATGAGCTGCCGGAGCTTTGGCTCAGCCGATCCGGATGTTGGATCGGCTGAGTTGAAGTCCTTCTGCACTTTGGCTCAGCCGAACATAGTTCTGCTCATTTTACTTCGGCTCGGTTACTCACTCGGCTGCCTTTGGCAGCTTTGTGAATAACCACCTTAGACTCATGCACCATTATGGGGTGCTGGTGTCGCTTCTGTCCCCTAGGTGGCGATATCACCATTATGGGGTGCTGGTGTCGCTTCTGTCCCCTAGATGGCGATATCACCATTCTGGGGTGCTGGTGCAGCCTTTGTCCTCCAGGGAGCGATATCACCATTATGGGGTGCTGGTGTCGCTTCTGTCCCCTAGATGGCGATATCACCATTCTGGGGTGCTGGTGCAGCCTTTGTCCTCCAGGGAGCGATATCACCATTATGGGGTGCTGGTGTCGCTTCTGTCCCCTAGATGGCGATATCACCATTCTGGGGTGCTGGTGCAGCCTCTGTCCTCTAGGTGGCGATATCACCATTATGGGGTGCTGGTGCAGCCTTTGTCCTCCAGGGAGCGATATCACCATTATGGGGTGCTGGTGCAGCTTCTGTCCTCTAGGTGGCGATATCACCATTATGGGGTGCTGGTGCAGCTTCTGTCCTCTAGGTGGCGATATCACCATTATGGGGTGCTGGTGCCGCTTCTGCCCTCTAGGTGGCGATATCACCATTATGGGGTGCTGGTGCAGCTTCTGTCCTCTAGGTGGCGATATCACCATTATGGGGTGCTGGTGCAGCTTCTGTCCTCTAGGTGGCGATATCACCATTATGGGGTGCTGGTGCAGCTTCTGTCCTCTAGGTGGTGATATCACCATTATGGGGTGCTGGTGCAGCTTCTGTCCTCTAGGTGGTGATATCACCATTATGGGGTGCTGGTGCAGCCTCTGTCCTCTAGGTGGCGATATCACCATTATGGGGTGCTGGTGCAGCCTCTGTCCTCTAGGTGGCGATATCACCATTATGGGGTGCTGGTGCAGCTTCTGTCCTCCAGGTGGTGATATCACCATTATGGGGTGCTGGTGCAGCTTCTGTCCTCTAGGTGGCGATATCACCATTATGGGGTGCTGGTGCAGCCTCTGTCCTCTAGGTGGCGATATCACCATTATGGGGTGCTGGTGCAGCCTCTGTCCTCTAGGTGGCGAAATCACCATTATGGGGTGCTGGCGCCGCTTCTGTCCCCAAGGTGGCGATATCACCATTATGGGGTGCTGGTGCAGCTTCTGTCCTCTAGGAGGCGATATCACCATTATGGGGTGCGGGCGCCGCTTCTGTCCCCTAGGTGGCGATATCTCCATTATGGGGTGCTGGCGCAGCTTCTGTCCTCTAGGAGGCGATATCACCATTATGGGGTGCGGGCGCCGCTTCTGTCCCCTAGGTGGCGATATCTCCATTATGGGGTGCTGGCGCAGCTTCTGTCCTCTAGGAGGCGATATCACCATTATGGGGTGCGGGCGCCGCTTCTGTCCCCTAGGTGGCGATATCTCCATTATGGGGTGCTGGCGCAGCTTCTGTCCTCTAGGAGGCGATATCACCATTATGGGGTGCGGGCGCCGCTTCTGTCCCCTAGGTGGCGATATCTCCATTATGGGGTGCTGGCGCAGCTTCTGTCCTCTAGGAGGCGATATCACCATTATGGGGTGCGGGCGCCGCTTCTGTCCCCTAGGTGGCGATATCTCCATTATGGGGTGCTGGCGCAGCTTCTGTCCTCTAGGAGGCGATATCACCATTATGGGGTGCGGGCGCCGCTTCTGTCCCCTAGGTGGCGATATCTCCATTATGGGGTGCTGGCGCAGCTTCTGTCCTCTAGGAGGCGATATCACCATTATGGGGTGCGGGCGCCGCTTCTGTCCCCTAGGTGGCGATATCTCCATTATGGGGTGCTGGCGCAGC